CCCCAGCCCAGGCCCCGCCCCTCAGACCCAGCGGCAAGAACCCGGCCACTCCCTGAGACCCAGGGTCCGCACCCCTGTCCCGCCCCATCTCTCAGCGTGCGCCCCTGCCCAGCCCGCAGATGTGGCTGTTCACAGGGCCGTGGCTCCCGAGGGTGAAGGAGACAACGCAGAGCTGAGGGGTTGGGGGTGCAGAGCGTGGGGCGACAGGCCATGACCCTGCGGGAAGTGGAGGGTCCTGACCCGCCCTGGGTGAGGAGTGTCCACCAGGGAAGGGCCTAGAGACTGGGAGAGGTCAACGCCTGCCTCTCTTGGGCACACAGCACGGCGTGTCCGCAGAGCGGACACCCACGTCCAGGCTGGCGCTGACTACTCTGCCAGGCTGCTCACCGCGGCTAAGAGTAGACACGTCCTGCCCATCAACCCCTGACCATCCTCCACATAAACAGTTGTACCCAGTTGTGTGGCTTGTGTCACATAGCACATTCTGGTCAACGGTGGGTTGTACAGGTGGCCAGTGGATGCGCCATCTGGGCTGGAGGGGGCGGCCCCGGGTGGGCCTGTGTGATGGCCTCAGCATTGCACCCCAAGGAAACGGTCGACTGCGTTGCTCAGAGGCACCCAGCACTAGGAGACACCAGGGTCACCCCACGGCGGAGTATTACTCAGCCACGAGAAAGGACTAGTTTGGATTTCGGATCTGTGTCCGTGGAGGCTCACCAAGGGCCGGGCTCCTGTGCTGCTGGGGATGTTGAGCTGGAGGGTGCTTGCGGGCTGAGACACCTGGCGCGCCCCAACACCTCCCAGCTGAGCCTGACTGGGGCGCGTCCATCGCTCGGACCTCGGCCCGTGTGCTCCAGCCTGTGCTGAGTAGCCCGACCCAGAGCTGCCACCCTCTCCCATCAAACGTGAGGGAGAGCACTCAGATCAGCCTTTCTCACGTGGGCCAAGGTGTTGCCGAGCCCAGACGCCACGGCAGTGGCCTCGGGTACCGGGCGCCTGTCCATTAGTTCCTCTCGGGGAGGGACCAGGCTGGCAGGCAGGGAAGCTGGGAAGCAGAGCGCCGGCCCGGGCACCCCCAGCCTGGCCTCACGGCGTGGGGCAGAGCCACTGTGTGCGCAGACGGGAAGGGCCTCGGGACGCCCCAGCTCCCTGGCCCCGGGGCCTGGGGCTGAGCGGGGAGGGTGGGCTGCGGGGCTGAGCTGGGCTCGCAGCCGCATGGGGCGCACGCGGGGCCCTTCCACGGAGCCAGGGGCTCTCCTGTCTGTAAGGGGGAGTCACCTGCTCACACACGGGAAGGGGTGTGGGCGCGGATGCATGCGGCTGCTGCAGGTGTGCGCGGCAGGTGGACTCTGGTGATGCAGGAGCCGAGGAGCCTGGCTGTGACCGGGAGGAGCCCAGCCCTGGGTGCAGGGGGGGGGGCCGGGCCAGAGTAGGGGAGGGCCGGCTAGGGGCCAGCCTCCGCCCGCCTCTCAGCCCAGCGGCCCGAGAGATGGGCAGGGAGTGACCTGGACCCGGCTGTGCCCAGAGCTACCACCCACAAGAGCAGGCCAGACACCACTGGCTGGGGGCGCCTCTTGGTCAGCTAGGGGTGCAGAGAGGAGAGGAGGCCTGGGACAGGACCCCGGTGGGGGAGCAGGGGCGGGGAAGGGCCCGGAGCCGCACTTCCTCCTCTCCTTCCCCGCCCCTGGCCAGCGGGCTGGAGGGACATACCTGCGTTTAAAGTCCACCAGGTGGAAGGTCCAGGGCTGGGCCTCCTGGGTCCTCCACATCTGAGGCATGACGGGCACTGGCGGGGGCCGCGGGGCCTGGGGGGGCCTGGCACTGCTGGTGAGTCCCCCAGGCCTGGGAGAGGGGACGGGGATCCCTGCAGGACCCTGGGGTTGGGGTCCCACTGGGTTCCCCAAGGGAGAGCGCGGAGTTCAAGGGGAGCGCTGCTAGGGAGTCTGGCACCCGGACTCTGCACTGTCAGGTGTGCGGAGCGGCGCTTCAGCGGGGACAGGTGGGGGGGCCACGGGGGGGGGGCAGAGCCCCGGCCTCCTCCCCACCCATGGGTCCAGGCCCTGCCCCTCCCCTCAGACCTGGGTCCAGGCCTCAGCCCCCTCCCCACAGCAGGGAGGCCAGCGCTTAGCCTAGGCCCTAGGGCCTGGGGTGGGGGTGGGTGGGGGGGAGGGGTCCAGGCCCCCTCAGACCAGAGGCAAGGCCCCGCCCCCCTCAGACCGGCTCCAGCCCTGGGCCTGGGTGTCCTCCTCCCTGGCCCGTCTCCACAGCCATGATTCTCTCACCTTACCTGCGGCCCAGCCGGCCTTTCCCAGACCCGCCCGCCCACTCCCACCACTCCTGCCCCCCCGAAACACCCCAGGGTGCCAGCACCAGGGCCCAGGGGCACCACGGGCTGGAGCCGCCCTCCCGGCGGCCAGGCCCGAGCCCAGCTGGTCCGCCCGGGCCCCGGCCCAGCGGCCTCACTGTCTGCCCCTCCCCAGGGCCTGTGCTGCTGGACGTGCGCTGTGGGTGAGTGACCCACCTGCTCCTCGCCCCTCCCTCGGGGGCTGCCCGGGTGGGGTGGCCCAGGACGGCCGAGGGGCGTCTCCGGGCTGAGGACCTGGCCCGGGAGGAGGGACGGGGTGCCGCGGAGCTGACCGGCCCCGTCCCC